ATTTCGGCTCTTTTCGTGCTTACAAGAAGTTGCAGCGGGATAAGGTCTGAATTAAGTATAATAGATAACATTCCAAAAAGTGCCACAAAATGCATTCAGCCCGTTGAGGGAGTGCGATGTTAAGACCTCAGACAGTAAATATTTCACTGTAAAAACCTGTAGGCGTGAAAACATTGGTTGTAATGACTTCTATTACCATTGCTACAAATGGACGAGTCCACGATTATGGGCAAATTGATCGAATTGATTGGTCAGATCTAATCGAATCGAAAGTCTCGCGCTGTGAGAAGCGAACAACACTTTTTGTCTTAGCGACCCACAACCCGATACACCGACCGACATACATACCAGCAAAAAAAACATCTAGTAAGCGGTTGGTATAAAAGAAGGATTGCTCCAACCAAATAAAAAAAAACTTAATTTTATGTTAACCAACAAACCCTTTCCTTAGGAGTTTCGCACTGCGCGAGCTCATTGTGGACTTGTCGCCAACCTTGTACCACTTGTCGCGCCTTATCGTCTTCTACCGTTGACTTGAATCCACCCCACTCAACCACTACCACGTCGTCGCATGTAGCCTTTGAGCGCATTTCGGCAATGAGGCGCTGAAGTTGTATTGAATGACGGAGCGATAAGATATGGAGCATGTGTAAATCTATTCGATGACACTAACATCGACAGCTTCGCTATCTGTACCCTGAGCGCGTATCTCCATTAGTTCGTTCATCATTCCATCAACCGGTTGCGCGGTGGCATCAGCACAGCTGAACTCGCATAGTCGAATTTGGGGTTGGATTTCACGACACCTAAAACCAAAAAGAAAATACTCGGTGAAGATTTAAAAAATGCTACATATGAAAAACTGCCTAAGAATCGCACAGTCAAGGTGAGGAGGAGGGGGCACTCAACTATCTACAGACCTAGAAAAAATGTGAATATTTGCAGACATTCAGAGCGATTTTTCTCTTTAACTGCAACTTCTCAACTGCACCATATGGTTAACACGCTGGCAAGTGGGTGGTTGCTGCGCATCCTATGCGTTATACCGCGCCCTTTTTCTTTCTCTGCTTTCATGCGTTTGATCGCACCCTACATCAACTAGTCTGCAAATAGGGTTAAATCTCAATTATGAAACTGTCAGGGTTTCGTTTGGCTCGTTTGATTCAAACCGAGGCACACACCGACTCCTTTGACCCACTACTTCAGGGATTTCGCTCCATCATAATTGCATAATTATACGCCTCTCCCAGTCCAGCAAATCTTTTCCGAAGTAGAATCTTTTACTCACACTCTAACAATACTACATATAAAGGAAGCATTGTCCCACGTTACGAGTGTGGGCTCTGCAGCAACCTTACGACCAGTTTTCACTGTTCCACAATCAATCATAATCGACGTAAAGGTAGGAGTCCGACAGGGTGATACCGTCACGCCGAAACTTTTCAAACCGCTCTCGAGAATGTAATACGTCAACCGGAATGAGAAGAACGCTGCTGTTTCGCCAAAAAATTAGAGATGAGGTGGGCCGGACACGTCATGCGATTTTGCGATGACCGTTGGACCAGAGCGGTTACCGACTGGATCCCTCGGGACGTCAAACGAACACCTGGACGACCGCCGGCCCGATGGTCAGACTTCTTCACGAAAGCTCTGAACGAAAGGAATGACGATGCGTGTCTCCCAAGGGGAGTATCCACCAAAGCGCATTGGCTCGCATCAGGGACGTATATTGGATATAAGGTTGGTCGCTTCGCTCGAAGGGAAAAGAAAGAAAGATGTACGGTGTTATACCACGTGTAAAATAATAGACTTCGAATCGCATCCCCAACAACGAAACTGACTATACGCCCGAGGTAGTTACCCTTCTCTTCCAGTCTGGACTAATGAAAAAACTCAAACGTTCTGGATGCCTCTCGCTTGGCATGCATGCTCTACACTCTCCTCATATTTGCCGCCGATGCCCAAATGCGCTATTATCATTCTACTGAGCTCATAAGTGCAAAATCTGCATGAGTTGCGGTTATCTAATAAAATGCATTGAATAAGACTGTACTTAAACTCATTTGTAAAGGTAAATAAGGCCTCCTAACCCAGGCCAAATAATAAGAGGCTGCATGTCATTTTCTGTACGTCCGACATGAGCACGACTTGAACTCTCAATATCTCGTTTTCATTTATCTGCTGAACTTCTTCTCTGAAATCAAATCTACGAGGATTGTTGCCACTCTTTAGATCTTTCGGCTGCCCCGCCCTGTGTTGTCCAATCACACTGTTAGCTGCAGTATGAGGTATTCGATAAAGGAGAACCGAGACCGCGTGCCTGTGGCTTCGATATGCACAGTTGTATAAAGTCTTGCTTCTTCTCATGTAAGCGGAGGATCGTGGGTCTCTTGAACATCCTTCTGGTATCTTTGGTGTTTGCTTTTTTCGGACACATGTCTATAGACAGCGTTTTTTTTTTACTGCCTCTTTTTTATCTTTATTCAACGTTCCGCTGACGCGGCCATTCTACGTATAGTTTGCAAAGTAATCCTCATTTAAGTTAGATGCACTATTTTCACCTTGTGACTGTGGTGCACGTTCAATGCAGTGTCCATTGTTTTTCTGTGACAAGTAGGTCATATTCGTTTCAGGGGATAAATATTCTAGCCCCTGATGAGAGTGTTTGTGCCAATCTTTGAGCTCATGTATACTAAATTAAGATCAATGCCGGGAGCAGTGATGGGATACATTACTCCTTACAAACTGGGGTGGGCACTTTGGCTTTTTGTGAGTTTGTACCAATCATGTGATCGGGGGAAACGGAAAAGAAGGGCTTTGACATAGAAATAAATTGTCTTTTGCAGAATCAAAATTATCAGTAAAATCGCATAGAATAAAAGACAACCAAAGAATAGTGCCTGTCTCCCCCTATCACAAATACATACTTTTCGAGCAAGCAAAAAATTCCTGGCGCGCCGCGCCTACACACGTCCGAAAGTAGTGAGACGCATGCCCGGCCCAAGTTCGTTATCTAATTGCCCCTTAATCTTTGTGCTTTTGTACTATATGCATCATGTTGACTCGTAATGTTAAGAATTCCTATACTATCATACACTGGCAGAAAACAAACTCTGCCACGTGAGTCGAACTCCGCTGACCTCATCTTTACGAGAGCCTCGACCACAGCCCCTACGCTTTTCTACTTCATAATTCGTTTCAGAGAAGAGCTCAGTAGATGAGGAACATATGTTTTAGCTCAGCGTCCCAATGTGCGTGCACACATAAAAGCATCTCATTTAAGTTGGCCGGGTTGACCAAATGACTCGTTCCTGGTAAATCGAGAACACTAAACTATGAAGAAAAAAACTCATTCGGAAAAAAATAAAAATAAGAATGTCGCCACTTATCGGATTAGCTGTTGTCGAGATGATAAGTTAGAAACCATTCGGGGCGAAGCTAAACCTATGGAAAGTACATGGGGACGAAATAATCTCTTAGTTTTAGGCTGGTGTCAGAGTCCGCGATCCGCAGGCATCGCTGATTTTCTTTGCGATTTGCGCGAACCTGTGACGGATCGCAAAAATTGCAAGTGTGTGAACATTTGAAACACTGAATATGAAACAAGTGGAATCATGAGCAGTCGTCATTCAGCCATCACTATCAAGCAGAAGTGGCGGCAGGATTGGAGAACACCTTGCAGTATTGATCGGGCACTTGTGATTTCCGTGACCCGTCGCGTGAATCGCGCAAATCGCGCAAATCGCGAAAATCAGCGGAACCCGCGACGGATCGCGGACTCTGACACCAGCCTTAGTGGTGATAGAAATTGTCGTTATTGACTTGAAGAGTAATTTACGAACGAAGTTAATACAAAAAGGAGCTCTCGCGAACCTACAACAAATAAACAGTGGATGCATATACGGTGATAACAAAAAAAAAACTTGAAGCTTTGCAACATTTACTTGCCTTGCTTTGTACAAATTGGCCAAAGTCGTGTTGTGTGTGGCTTCTGCTAACCGCTCATAGACCGTTCGAGCAGTCTTCAACAGTTCAAATGCCTCAGACCATTTCCGCAGCTCAAATGAGCACACACCGGCAAGCCATACAGCGTAGGCTTGCGCCTCTAGTTTTGTAGGCGCATCGCACTGAAAATGTAGACGAAGATGACAGAAAACTTTTGATAACTCCTTCCGCAGCAAATAATCACGGAAATCCCATGGACGTTGGGTCAAATAGGTAGATGTACGATGCTCGTAAAGGTAACGTCCTACACTCAGCATACTGCCCTCAAATTACTGCGATAATCGCGAACAATCATGCATATTGCAGATCAATTTGAGACCCTCGCAAAAATAACCCTTCGCTGGGATTCCTAAAACTGCTCTATCACAAAATCTAAAGACAAACCCAGGTCTCAGGTAATAAACGTATGCTAACTTCGAGAAACATACCCTGCTGTTATTCCTAACGAGCATTTCAAGAGCTGCGGCATGATAGACCGCACGCTTCAGATGCATGCGCATTGATTGACGCTCGAATTTTGTCTGGATTATCTTCCATTTCCATTTTGTCCGACATCGCTGAAGCCCAGCGACGTTCAGCTTCAAACACTCCCAACTGTATGAACCTAGAAAGCTTGTTCTTTCAATAGATATTTCCCCTCAAACCAACCCGTTTTTAGGTAGTGGAAACGCTAATGTCCCAATCAACACTTACCAAAGTGACCGTGCAATGTATTAACAGGGTACCCCCAGGAGGCCCGTCGCGCGGCAAGAAGGCAAAGTCAGCGGACGAGTCGCGCGCGTACTATAGGGATTTCGCGTCAAGTTAAATAGAGTGTCCCACTGCACGTCCTACATCGCACACCACGCGCTGCAACTCGTCCGCCGACTCTGCCTTCTTGCCGCGCGACGGGCCTCCTGGGGGTACCCGTAAAACACAATGCCAGCAATTGACTGGGCTGGGCCTTACTCTTACAATGATCCTGCCCAATATAGAACAAATAAAAAAAAATTCATCCACACGCATTTCCTCCGTTCAGAATCGCCGGTCACTCTGAGCGTGTGGTGAATATAGGTTTGAGAGCAATTGGTGCGCTCACCAAGCCGCGTAGTCCGGGACTGAAATCGTGGATCATCGCTCCCCTCCACAATTCCCCTACTCCTGCTCGGTCGCTTTACTGGTGGTACCAGATCTACCTGGGAAGATGATCACCGGATCGTACCGGCTGGCAATCGCAAGTCAATGTATGAACTAAGTCGTATTCAAAATACACTGCCATTCTAGGTCACTGTAGCTCAGAAAATATAGATGGGAAATTCGAGCTAAATCCACTTATTGTATAAATTAAGAAAATTACAGAGTTCACCTAGAAAACCTACCGTTCATCGACAAAATCTGCTTCACTCAAGGATTTCTTCACAAATTTCGCTTTATGCCTTCGCACACATTTGTGAGTGTTAGTGAACTTTAAGGCATGACGAACACGGTCCAATTTCGAGCTGCAGTAGGTCCTGAGAGTGAGCGAAAATAAAAAAAAGTTGAAATAGGATGACAGCATTGTCATCCTTAAAATAAAAGAAGCAATCCAAAGATCAATAAATTTCATCCAAACGGGAAGAGTGAGCTAAAACAGGCAGGATGCACAGTTCATAAATCCTTCAAAAGTCCACTCTTCCCCTTGAGACATCTATCCCTTGCTTACTAAATGAGCATGCGGTAAAAGAGCTGTTTGGGAGAATTATAGGACTCGTTCAATCGTTCACAGAATTTCCCTTCTCAAGAGAAGCTTGCTAATGTGGGCTTCTCGCAACAAGCTTTGCTCTTGAAAACCAAGAACATTGCGCCTACGCCCATAAGATATTTGGTCGACGAGACTACTTGAAACTCTAAGCCATTAAAACCTGCTCTGTCTTCTCCTCACGGTCCCTCTCTATCTCCCACGGCCCGTCTGTATTTTTCCCAGACACTCAAACGTTCTCTAATCCGGTCGTGTGCTCTAGCCATCGCGCAGGACCATGAGGAAAAACAATAGTTCCGTAAACCTTCACACCTCCTCTAGAGATGAAGCCCAAGGGACAAGCCAAACTTCGCGAACACACAATGAAAATCGCTCACAAACCTTGAGTCTCTCCTCCGCGCACATTAGTCGTGTGGTACCATTAGTGCTGTCCTCACAAAGGAGATGTTACGCGGTTTTGAATGCATTGTCTCCATAATGCCCCTACTGGGATAGTGCCCAAGCAAGTTCACACTACTGCACTTCGACAGGTACGGGGCAACTTTTGCTGCGGGAAATCCCGATCCATCCCTGATCATGAGTGGACCTGCGTTATACAAAAAATGCTTCGCTTTGCGAAAACACGCTAAAAATTCGCTTTCTGTCTTAGCGACAAACCTACGAACCAACACCTAGGGTTACCTT